GAAGTTTAGTTATGTTTGTTTACTATATTTTAATAGTGTTTACTGTTAAATAATATTTATATAATCTTATTTATTAAAAGTAGAATAATATTCTTAGCTTATGTTATTTATATGTAGATTAAGATTAAACATTCATAATATACACATAATATGATAAATAATATATTGATTAGTTAATTATTATAGTATGTTCTGTTTAATTAATATTTTGAAATAAAAAAAGACAAATATAAAAGGACATAACATATATTTCATTAAAATGATTAAAATGAAAACATAAAATAAATATATTTTGGTTTTGAAGTTTAGTTATGTTTGTTTACTGTATTTTAATAATGTTTACTGTTAAATAATATTTATATAATCTTATTTATTAAAAAGTAGAATAATATTCTTAGCTTAACCTATATATATTTTATTTATATGTGAATTAAGATTAAACATTCATAATATACAAATTATTCAGAATTTTAGTTTTTTTTATGTTTGATTTTAATTATTTTAACCTTTACTTAAAATATAAATAAGACAGGAATACAAATATAAATAATATATCTTTATCATTTTTGTTTTAAAATGACAGGAATTCACCAAAAAAAAAAGAAGAAGAAGAAGATTTAACTATCCCTCAAACTAAACATGATTTTGTCTTTTTATATATATCATTAAATACTAACCAAGTATAATATTATAAATAAGAAAGACAAAGAAACATATTCTATTAAGTAATCTAGTGCCTGTTGGTAAATTGTTTGGGTATAAAAATAAATAAAGAGTAAAATCAATTGTATGAAAGCACTATTTTAAATATGTTTATTTATTTCATAAAGATAATATTTTTAGAATACAATTAAATTATCTAAACTTATGAAAAAAATATGAATAATAGACCAAGGAAAAAAAAACATTGTTTTTGTGTGTGTGTGTATATATTTGTGTAATAACATATTTATATAAACTTTATATATATTTTTGTGTAATAACATATTTATATAAACTTGAAATGTTTTAATAAAACTATATGAAAATGATACATTTTAAATTAAATAGAATAATAGTCATTCATTCTTATTCTAATAGTTATAAATGTTATAATTAATTATAAAAATTAACTTAATAAATAATTCATTATACTGACAAATTAAGTTTTAAGAAGAGTCCATTCATCGTAACATTTATTTAATTTACTGTATAATAAAAACATATATTTATAAATATTTAGGATATAAATCTTTCTATTATTTATTCACTTACCAACTATACCAATACATGTTTAGTAATATGGTGTAATTTTCTTTTATACAAATATTTTTTAATTAAAAATATATATATATTTTTAATTTTCATAATCAACATTTCAAAATCATTAAAAAATATTTTTAAAATAAATTTAATGTTTTTCAAATAACACTATTTTAAAAAAAATCCAACCACAAAAACAAATATTCCCTGACTTTTTGACAATTCATATGAAATGTGTTGACACGTAACATCATGAATTAGCAGCATTTAATTTATAGGAACTAAAAACAGAAAATAAAACAAATGCAGACTTATATAAATAAAGGAAACAAGAGTTCACCCGGTCAAGAACAAGAACTTGGAAACTCGAGCCTGTCATGTTTTTGGTCCCTTCTTACAACTGTCCATCTTCACGATCTCTTCCAAACTTCTCTCCTTGTGTTACAAATGGAGTCAATGACACCACTTTATAAGACCAAGAAATGAACTTATTCAAGATGGCAACAAGAGCAGACATTCTTGCTAGCTCCTGCCACCGCCGGAGGAACACAACAGTATCCCGTCACCGGAAGTATGGAACCACCCCAGCAACCCCTTTTTTGCATTGGAAGCTTATTCAAGATGGTAACAAGAGCAGACATTCCGCTGTCTCCAGCATTGGTGGCAGCGGAGGAGCGGGGGCTGGACAGAGAGGTGGCGGTGTTAGTTGTAGTGGTAGTGGGAATGCTGTTTCGGCTAGGAAGCTCGCCGCTGGCCTGTGGAGGCTGAGGTTGGCAGGTGGTGGTGGTGGTGATAAAGGTTTGAACTTGAGGAAGGGGAAAACTGATGAATTGGGGTTAAAGGTATTTTTTTTTGTTAATGTTTTCATTTAGATTATGACCTCCATTTTTTTTTTGAATGATTTTTTTTTCCCTTAAATTGAATGCATGCTTGGTTGCTGAGAAAGTTATGTTTCATTTTCTGGGAAATTAACCCAAGCAGTTTCTTTTCTTTTCTTTTCTTTTCTATTCTTTATTTTTTGGCTGGCATGTTATCTTTTTCTTCATGATAGAGACTAGACAGATAGCTCTTTGTTGTATTGAGGATTCAGGTGACAAATGGAATGCAATGGGCCATATGTTTACTTGTTTTCTTATAATTTTCCGTTCACTCTTATTTTCCTTTACGGGCTGTTATTGATTTGTCTACACTCTGGATGCTAAGACTTTGTTGGTTAAAAAAAAAAAGAGATCTCAGAATTTGCTTTGTTTTTCTTAGTTTTTTTTAACTCATCAATGAAAATTGACCACCACAATAAGAGGAAGATTGCAATGTTTTTTTCATCTATATGCAATCTGTACGCAAAAGAAATTCTGAAATGAGTCTTCCTGTTCGTTATGGTATAATGACTTTGCCATGATCATCCTCCTTCTACATTTTTACTGTCATGAAAAAGTGAAAAAAAAAAAAGAGCTAGTCCAGTTATTTTTCAAGTGCATCCGGGCTGATTAAAATAGAGCTAGTCCAATTACTTTTCAAGTGCATCCGGGCTGATTAAAATTCATCCAAGCAATGACTGAACTCATAAATCTCTTATTCGTAAGTAAGATCTAATTGAACTCAAATAATGTAATGGTTTTATTGTTTTCGTGCGGATCTGTTCATATTCTATTTGAATGTCTGTTCACATTTTGTTTCCATAACAATTTCGAGACTTTGGAATGATGCCATTTGCTTTTAATTGCATCCTGTTGTTGGACTGTTAAACACGGTGTTTCTCTCTCATCAGATTAGCAGCGAGTATGGTGCAGAAAAAATGGATCTTCTGCGCACCCCTGAATTCGTGTCCAATTCAAACCATGGGATCCTGTGCAAGGTATGCGTTAGTTACCTAGAATATCACTGCATTTAACTTTTTCCTTGCCGAACCTGAAGCTTTCTCAATAGGGTCGTCTGGACTGGGCCCATTAAAAATGTCTGCTACATATATGCAGGCTTTGAGTAGAGTGAACTTTGTGATAATATGCCCTCTACATCTTCTCATCCCATCTTCATGCTGTTGTATTCATGACATCTGGTCCAAAGAATTGACCAAGAGGTCTTTTAATTTTTTTGTACTTTCACTTGATGACTTGCTTGGTAACCAGAATCTACCATGTTACTTCTGTCTTAATCACATATAATTTCCAGTCTGGTGAAATAGTTTTGTACGTGTTCATCTCTACTTTTTTTTCTTTTTATTTTGTTAGATTGAATCCCCATCACTGTATACTAAGCATGACATGGAGGGTGCAACAAAGTGGGATCCGAGATGCTCAGGGATATCCAGTGACGTCTTCTGCTTTTATAGCCATCCTAAACTTCTCGAAAATCATGTTGCTATGGTGCCTGCTTTTGCCATGCACGCAGAACTAGTGCAAGCTCGATTGCGCATTCATGAGCTTGAAGCCAACTGCCAGTCTTCCAAGAAAAAAATCAAACACTTACTGAAGAAGCTCGGAGAAGAAAGAACCTCATCGCAGAGCAGTGAACCTCAGAAAATTCGTGCAGTTATTGATGATTTAGTCAATCAATTAAGCAGGGAAAGAAAAAAACGTCAAAAGCTGGAAATTCTCAATTCTAAATTAATCACTGAGTTGGTAAATGTCAAATCATCTGCAAAGAAGTTCAAGAAAGACTATGAGGAACAAAAAAGAGCCAGAGAAATAATGGAGAAAGTTTGTAATGAACTTGCCAATAAAGTTGCAGAAGATAAAGCTGAAGTTGAAACATTCAAGACTGAGTCCATCAAGATTCAGGAAGAAATGGAAGAAGAGAGGAAGATGTTGCAGGTGGCTGAGGCTTGGCGTGAAGAACGTGTCCAGATGAAGCTGATTGATGCAAAATTGGCCCTTGAAGATAAGTATTGCCAAATGAACAGGTTAGTAGCAGACCTTGAAACTTTTCTGATGTCAAGAATTGCCACCTTGGATGTGATGGAGTTAAGGACCGCCCATTCAATCAGACATGCAGCTAAATTGGTAGATGTTAAAGAGATAAGGGAATTTTCTTATACCCCGGTGAAATCAAGTGACATATACTCTATTTATCAAGAACTCAAGCAAATAGAAGCCAATGAAAGGGAGATTGAAGAATGCAATAAGAGCAGCCCTGCAAGCAATTCTTCCAAACTCCATTTTGCCAGTTCGGATTTTAATGAGCACAACTACCATTCTTTGCAGCAAGGGTCGACTATTATTATTGATGATAACTGTCATTTAGAAGAAGATGCAAGAGGCCACCACGCTGTGAATCACGCTGAGGATCAAGGTTCAAGTTATTCCCATGATGAGAATCACCTCTCAGTTAACAAGCTTACACAAAGCAAAAATGATTGGCAGGTTGCAAGAGAATGTGATGAGAATGCTCCTCGGAATTCTCCATACACACAAAGTAGTGAGGTCCATTTGGTACCAGAAGAATCAATGTGTAAGGCATCGTCCATATCTAAGCTTTCGAGATCTGGCCAATATAATAACAAATGCTCAGAGATAACAGCTGATGACAGTGATGGAATGGTCTTGAGAGAGAACATTTCTAATAAGGAGACTTATCCAAGAACAAAGTCATGGGAAGATAGGCTTCGGCACGAAAAGTCTGTGGAGCAGTGGAGCTCACCAGAGTTAGAGAATCCACATGTTACTCATGGAATAAAAGAACGCATTAAAAGGCCACGAGCTACCGAAAAGAATAGCTTGAAGGCCAAGCTTCTGGAAGCCAGGATGGAAAGCCAGAAAACTCAGTTGCCCGGTGTTCTTAAACAGAAGACTTAGGTGAAGCACATTCTCAAAATCTTTTTGTTTAAACTTTTCCAACACAACAATGTGGCATCTGCCCAAAAGCCAATGCTGGAGTTTTGTGGATAAAATTGTAAACCTCAAGTAGACAAGACATTTTTCGATCGGCCTTCTCATGTTTTTGTTTAATTGGTCATTTTCAACACTGGTAAGCTATCCTCACTTGCCAAATTACAATTACCATGTATCATAAATGAATTGTTTGCCCATGTATGATTCATCTTATTTTCGTACAAGTCATTAAAGATATAGTGCAAGTATACTCGGATACTCTCGCTGTGTAGTCGGATTAATACACAATGAAAATCTATAGATCTATTTGTTACAGAAATAGCATCATCCTCTGCCATCTACTTTGTCTGGATTAATCTTAATGTTGTTGTACGTAGAATAGAAGACACCAGTTGCTAACTCGTTGCTCTTTACCAGGCTCCATTTGATGAAGCCATAAACGGAAAAATGGGCATCTGTGACTGTTCTTCTGTTACTCATTTTTGTAGTGTTTATGTTAAAATCCTTTCCTAATTCCTATTGGCTAGCTGCTAAAGTTACACTATTGCTTTTTTAGTTTTGATGCTGGTGGGAGACAAGATACTGTTATGCTTGCCAAGTTCTGGTTACTTGCATCATGCCCTTTCCCAAGAAAGGACAATCTGATAAGTGTGAGATTCTGCAACAACTAGATACAGGAAAACTGATATAGTTTGGCCTTTTTCTGCACCCCACTTGCATGCTTGCCACTGTTTGTCCCCACGTCAATCATCTCCTACCCGCCCCATCATCTCCTACCCGCACCCACGGCATTAGCCTAGCGGTGGCAGGAGTATTTGCTCCTTCCACTGCCACAAGTTCGATCCTTGGAGTTGCATGCCTGTCAGCTCCGTACTGTCTTACCTGCCTGCTGGGTTTGCAGGGTATTTAGTGGGCCGTGGGGATTAGTCGTGGTGCGCGCACGCTGGCCCGGACACCCCACGTAAATAAAAAAAAAACAAAAAAAAAAAATTGAGATTCTTTAACCATATAAGTGGTGGCCGAGTAGTAAGGACTTGGGATCAAGGGGTTTGCTCTCTCTATGGTCTCAGGTTCGAGTCCTTGGTTGCTCATATGATGGCCACTGGAGGCTTACATGGTCATTAACTTCAGGGCCCGTGGGATTAGTCGTGGTGCGCGCAAGCTGGCCCGGACACCCATGTTAATCTAAAAAAAAAAATTGAAATTCTTTTGGCATACATGTTTGTCATCTCGTCTCGTGATGCCTTACCTGTTTACTAGATTTATAGAGTATTCAGTGGGCTATAGGGATTAATCATGGTACGTGTAAACTGACCCAAACACCTCACATAAATAAAAAAAAAAATTGGGATTCTTTTAAAAAATGATGTTGTTCGGTAAGAATTTTGGAAGCAAGACATGAGTTTGGAAAATATTGGGAAAATAATTAGTTTGAATATAATCATGTTTTTTAATATCAAACTGTACAAAATCATTATTGAAGATAGTAATAGGACACAATAGTGTTTTTTTATATCAATTTTCCATGCGATCACTATTAAGAATAGAGATGTTTTCTCTTCTTTAAAATAATTAATCTTATTCAAATTCAATTCAAAATTTTATAAAAAATTAATATCTAAAAGTTAAGAATAAATGGTTAAAGAGATAAAATAATGTGGCATGAGAGAGAAATGAGGAAACAAAAAAAGAAAAAGAAAAAATAGATTATCGAGAACATAATAGATATTTATTTTTGACATATTTAATATCATTTGAAAAATTTTAACGAGATGATTTTAATTATGTCTTGAAAAACTATTAAATGAGGTTATAATTAATCCTAAATTAATCCATAAAAAAATCCCTAAAAAATTAGAATCACATTTGATAATCTTTTAAAATATGATTAGAAAGTTAGAGTTATATTATTGAGATTTTTTTAATGGTGCTATATGTGTTGAAAATGAAGCTCATGTATGTCCCAATAACCTTTTTTTTCTTATTCATTAGATTTTAAATTTTATTTATTGGCCATTGGATTTTCATAAAAAATTAAATTGATTTTTATGGCTGTTAATTAATTTGAAAATTTTAAAAAAACTTCTCAATTGGTGTTGAAATTATATTATATATATATATATTATTTGCTCAAAATTTTTGTTGAAATGTGTAAGAATTACAGAATACCCTCAAAATTGAAAGGCACACTTCTTTTAACTGCATAGTAAAAACAAAATCTTGACTCCAAAATTGCCTTGTGCCTCGATTTTCACCATGTTAGATGCGTTGTCATGCATGCATGTCAGATCAATAAGCCAGCCCAGAAAGATATATGCCCATTGCATTTGCACATGCAGCCTTAATTGGAAAACTACAAGTCTGGAAAACTTGTTTCTTGATCTGATGCTCACTCTATGCTGGGCCTTATTTGAGGGCTATCAACACCAGCTGTGCTGAGGGTTTGGGTGGGTCAGGAGACGAATTGAATTAGCGATTGAAGAGCTTCTCCCATCTCTCCAATTATGGCTTTTATCAAAGCTTACTGATTCTTTATCTTTTGTGGTCATGGTTAATGGTTTAAGAGGTCAGCATCAATATGTTCTTGAAGATGAAAAAAAAAGAGAAGAAGATCACATGTACTAAATGGTTGTTGAATCCGATTTTAATTGATGTATTGGCCAAGGATTTGAAGCCTGACCAATCTTGTTAGATCTAATCCAAACTCTAATACATTAATATAAAAAATAAAATGATATTATTTTAATATAAATACTTAACCCGGAATATTTTTCCAAATAGATATTACATTCAAATTAGCAGCCTCGCTTAAATGTCAGTTCATAGCAGTAAGAATTTTTCTTGTCGAAAACATAGCCACCATGTTTAGTAGGGAAAAAAACTCTTTAGTTTCATTACTAATCTTTAATCTAGAAGAAAATTTATAGTTTTATCATACATGAAAGATTTTCATTCTCAAAACACGATAAAATAAATATTGTTCAACACGAGGGCTTAAGAAATTGATACATGTTGAGATGGAGATGGAGAAAGTGCTCCCATGCTAAGCTATTGTCCCTCTTGAATCCTTGGCCCAGGCAATTAGGCTAGAGTTAGTTTCTTCGAAGGCATGAATGTATTCTGTGAAATATATCCAAATTAAGGAAAGAAGTGACAAACATATCCTTTGATCAAATATGTTTCAGCTCCTGACCATCCCTACGGAAGCATGATAAAAAAGAAATTATGAGTTGTGTAAAGATTTAGGCTGGAGGTGACTACTGCTTTGATCAGCAATGGGGACTTTGCGAGGAGTGATGCCGACCGAATCAATCAATCATTTTCCCCTTTTTCGAGGCCAGAAAAGATGCAGAGGGTTAAAGATTCAAGATTGAAAGAATTCCCACTTGACGAGGAAAGGCACCTGCCGCCACAGCTGGAACCACAAGTCCTCCGCAAGTGGGGGTCGCAGCCAGCACTTCACATATCTAGCTAGCTAGTGACCCCATGAGAGGTAAGTGTGCAAGCTCTCTGTTAACTGCCATCGCAACTGAAACAAAGTAAAACAGTTAATTGACATGGTTCCTCCCTCCCTCCCTCCCTCCATGTATTCATTGGCCAACTATCATCATCTTGAGAGGGAGACTTCACACCTACCAAGAGTAGTTTTTATCAGCCAAAAAAACGCATTAGTATTTGATGTTGTTTCAAGCAAGAAATAATTTTAAAAATATATTTTTAAAAAAAGGTTGAATTAAAATATTTTTATGACAATATTTTTTTAATTAAAATACATTAAAGTAGTATTTTTTATATTCTTAACACTAGAAAAAAAGATATTAATTTAAAAAAACTTCAATGAAGAGGTTGAATTGCATTTAAAAAACAGAGGCAAAGACTGAACAATCATATTCTGTGGCATGGCATTAATGGCTAGTTGCACCAAATCTCAATGGTGAAGTGGCAGTCACCTAATTGCTCCCTTTTCAGCGTTGAAAGGGCAAGATTCCCATTGAATTGTCTTTTTAATCATGGCAAAGAGATCGTAATCAAGGTCATCATGGAGTAGAAACCATAATGAATAATTGAAATTAAAAAAATAAATTAATATTTGAGGTTATAATAACATGATTTGATTACCTTAAGAAGATTCCCTAATGAGTGGTAATAAATCATGGTATGCAATGGCGCTCCCCGTCGACGCCCTCTTCTTCGTTTTCCTCTGCATTTATGGATATAGTGTGAGAGATATGATCCTAATATATAATCAATATTACATCTATTTTAATTACGAGGGGAACATTAAGATCAATCAAGGATGCGTCAATTTAACTTTGCCAGCACCATCAAGCTTGTTGCATAGAAAACTATGGAGGGATTTTATCACATCAAACTCTTAGCAAGGAGAGCTTATCTCATGTGCTGTTGGGGCACCATCAATGGCCGAAGAGACTATATGGCTGGCTGGCTGGTGACCCAATTTGAAAGAAACAATACCAAAGTGTGTGTGTGTGTGTGTGTAAAACAATAAGTTAGTTGTTTAATTTAACCTATCATGGAGGCAGGGAGGGATAAAACGGATCCCACCACCACCATTGTCGCCACCACTGAAATTGCTCACAATTTGCACTCAGTGGACTCATCTTTCCTTTGTTGATAATCTTTGACTGGACTCGTCTTCTTCGTTGAATGGAAAAATTCTCGTCGACTATGAATGTAATTGCTCTGTAGATCATGTGGGTTTAATTTCGACGACATCATATGCAAGATATTCAATGTAAATTGTAACAACGTAAATAAACTCAAATCCATGTACTTTGAGATCATTAATTTACTAATTATTTTAAAGTGTTTTTTTCTTAAAATTACATTAAAAAAATATTTTTTTATTAAACAAAATAGAAACTTTTTGTCCAGCCGGGGATAGTGATCTCATCAAACTCTCTTTTACACAATATTATACGTTGTGTAACTCAAAGTTTCAATCTAAGTTAAAAAAAACAAAAAAAAATAATTAAATTCTCTTTTGTTTTGTTTTTTACAATTATCATAACCCCACCTTTCTCTAATTAAACTAAATTATTTCCAATCACAACGATCTTAAATAAGTTGTTTATTGATAAATTTGTAGGTGAATTCTCCATTAAACCT